GTGCCAAGTATTTCCATGCTCTCCTTCACAAGTATTTCCAATGTGATTTGAGTTCTTACATACTCATGAGTTGAAATTGTGTATTGCTCTTTCGGGAAAAAGTATTTCAAGAATAAATGGTGTCTCACTCGTTTATGATTTTTAACTTGTGTTGCGATTGCAAGTCATGTTGCTCCATACTTGGGAAAGAAATCCATTGTGTTTAAAGCCTTCATTACTAATGAATCTAAAGTTATGATTTCCGAAATATTCTATATGTTGATGTTTATGATGATGATCCTTGAAAGTAAAGAAATGAAAGTGTGAAATATGAGATACGACCATCGTGCCTTGAATGAAGAATGATATGAATGGCCAAGGGCAATGAATAATGATGTTGTGAGTGGTTGAAAGTACTAATGGAGCTATATATATAGTATGAAAGGTCGTGATATAAATGTGTTTGTATTTCTATTTCCTTTGTGTGCAAAACAAAAACTATTTTTGGGAGTATCATTAGCGAGTCGAGGAAGGGTGGGTTGTAACAGCCCACACCCAAAACTACACGTACCGGTGTAGGAGTGGATTGAGATTATTCCCCTTAATCGGGATGAGATTGATGTGATGAGATTATTCCCCTTAATTGAGATGAGATTGATGCGATGAGATTATTCCCCTTAATTGGTATCAGATTGATGTTAGCTGTGAATTGGAAGTCGACCCACACGGCATATATGGGGAGACGGCCTAGCCGATTGGGTGGAGATCGGATGCCATGTTACGTGCATGGTGGTTCCTACTCTTGGTATCACCTTTTTTTTCATACTACCATGTCAATCCACATTGATTCGTGGAGATATGGCTCAGGCGATCGAGTTTGTGATCGGACTCCATGCCTCATGTATGGTGTGATGATTGGATGCTAATGATCTCCCAACCAAAATGTTAATTTCCTATTTTGAAAATATTATGTTTTAACTTGGCATCTGGATATCATTGGTTGTTACTTGTTTTTTTCATGAGTATCCCCTTGATGTATTGGCATTCTATTCCATGGGAGGCTTTTTAGCTTTACATACTAGTACTATTTCATATGTACTAACGTCCCTTTTGTCGGGGGCGCTGCATCTTTATTGAATGCAAGTGGTTCATCAGCGGGCAGCTTTGATCCTCGTTAGCAGTTACCCTCTACTCAGCAGGTTTTGGTGATCCCTATTCTGTTCCGGGCCTTATGTCACTTGACGTTGGACATTGTGTTTTGAGGTATAGACGGTGCCTTGTCACTGATACTTCCATACTACTCTTCTGTTATACTTAGAGGCTTTGTAGACATGATGTGGGTGGTGTTCGATGTTGGGTAATAAACTAGAAGTGTTGGTATTTGGCAAATATGTTTTTCCCTCGTATATATGAACTTATAATATTTTGGAAATCGTAAATGAATCTCCTTTGAGTAATGGAAAAAGGATGTGGAACACTTTACTCTTGTCATGTATATCCCTTGTTACTGATTCTTATATTGTTCATGGGTAAGGTCGGGTAGAAGGCAACAAGTAGGCTTGCTTGACTGTGTGTCTTGGTTGAGCGCCGGTTGCGCCTCCCGAGGTCGGGGCGTGACATATTTGGGTATATTCTCATAAAATAAGGGTTCGGCTAAAGGTAGTGAAACATCCTCCAATTTATCCTTCTCTTTATTCTTAGAAAAGGATCTCGTAGTAGAGGAACCTACTCTAATCACCATGGAGACAAGACTGCAAAGTCTTCCTCATCTTCTCCTAGACCTAACTGGGACTTCAATGTTTAGTAACTCATCGACAACGATAGCATGATGAGCATAAGCTTTAAGGTCATAAGGCACAGAAGGGACGATGTTTTGAGAGGCCATGATTATAACGAAGAAAGCAAAGTAAAGGAAAAGTAGGGAACAAAGCAGAGAGAAAGCGCAAAAGAAAAGAGATGAATGGATGCAAATAAAATAGTAAGAGAAGGAAAGGTTTGAGCGTTTCTAATTTATAGGAGAAATATGTCATCATGAACCATAATCATAAGACTGCCACTTCGAAGTCACTGAGCCGTCAATCCCTAGAAACTTGTTGTAAATTATAGAACCAATTGCGTTGCGCCACGTGTCTCAAGCATTAACTGGAAGCGGCGCATGTCGTTTTATTTCTACAGCCTGTCATGGGAATTTCGGGATAAAGAGACAAATACTCCTCCAATTCCAGCAAAAACAATTCTTCACCACTTCCTGATAATCATTTGATATTATCTGGGAAGTGGAAGGACTATCGGTATAGGTAAAAAATAGACTTACCACGTGGATTAACTAAGTCTTGACACGTGTCAATGCTATTTGAAGATCACAGAAATTTTGGACTCCGATATCAATCGAAGTTGAGAGTCATTCAGTACTGATATTATTGGTACCATAACCATTAGTACTCGAATCACTCGTAATGAAACCATTCACGAGCTAGCATGCGGAATCTCTCGTGGATACAGAAAAGAGGAGAATCAGTCAATTCCGAATAAAGCGGGATCTGATATAATTCCCCTATCATTTAAGTTTTTAAACTTATTTGTGATGACTTTCTCCACCGTTATAGAGTAGTTTACCTTAGGGTTTGACGAATATGGTAATTTGATTGTTGTTTGTGGATTTAACTCTAGTTTAATTGCATAAATTCGTTTATGAAGCTTTGAATTGATTGCTAATTTGTTCATCAGTTTATTTAATCGAAATAGAAATATTTTGGTGATTATCTTTGTATTATTTTTTTTGGTTTAAATTAGTGATTATTCTAACTAATCGAAAGAGCTTTTTGAATTGTTATTTAAACCAAGTTAGGAGAATATTCGAGAGACATTTTCCTAAAGACTAATCCATTAACGTGTTATTGTATATCTTCATAGTGCTTCAAATTAGTTTACCATGTCGAGTTCAGACTTAATCAAGAGAGGAATTTTGACCTTACGTTTAAATTAATCATTAAGTGGATTCGTGAGAATCATTAGAACATGAGAAGTGATTTTAAATAGAATTCAACCCTGAGTAACTATCTTGCACCTATCATGTCACTACCCATATTTCTCAGATGTGCAAGCACAATAGGATTTTGAGATGGATGTGCTGGCACGCTAGGATAGATGTAATTAGGAACGAAGTTATCCGAACAAGGTGTGTGTGGCCCTTGGGAGGACAAGATGCGGGAAGCGAGACATAGATGGTTTGGACATATGAGGAGGAGAAACACATATGCCCCAGTAGGAGGTGTGAGACTTGGCCTTGGAAGGCCCAAGGAGAGGTAGAGGTAGGGCGAAGTAATATTGAGGAGAGGTGATTTGACAAGACATGACGAAGCTCCAACTGGCTGAGGACATGACCCTTCATACGCATTTGTGGAGGTCAAGGATTAGGGTAGAAGGTTAGGTAGCCTGGTGCTTTCCTTGTTCATACCGGTAGTATTAGTACGTACTCTCGTATTTTGTTGGTATTAGGTTTCTATTACTATTTGTCGTTTCTTTCATTTCAATCATTTTACTATCTTGTTGTTATTTACGCTGTTTTTCCATGACTTCTTGTTGTTTTTCTTTTCATTACTGTTGTGCTTATGCTTTCCTGAGCCGAGGGTTTATTCGAAACAACTTCTCTATCTTCACAAGTTAGGGTACGGTCTGTGTACATACTATCCTCCACAAACCCCAGTATGTGGAATTAAACTGAGTATGTTGTCGTTGTTGTCACCTACTGAAGAAAAGGAAAGATATCTACGTTTCTCAACAATGTAATAAGAGAATGGTGTTGGAAGTCACTAGGAAATAGAAACAGGAAGTGCAAAGATCGGAGAGTTGTCATAGAAGTTGCTAAATGGATAACATGGATGGAAAGAATAGAAGAGCCCCGAAGTAAAAGGCAAAATAGTCAAGTCACTTGCACCAGCTGGGACGTTTGGAGGATAAGATTAGTAAAATTCTTCTCCAGGGAATGCAACAGTGCTATACATTTGGTATCATAATATAACTCTGCATCTGTACGAAAGGTTATTTGATTTATCCAGAGCAGATCCTTTTTTTTATAGCCATGGTGTCGGGGCCAACTTGCGTGCATCTTGACTAATTTCAGGGGATACCTGCTACCTCCCACCAGCAACAGGTACTAGGTCACTCTATCCACCAAGGCTTTGACACATGGGAAGAAATTGCCTAGTGTTTTTGTCATTTCAACCTAAAACCTCATGGTTCTTAACCCACTGCATTGACCACTAGACTACACCCTGGAAAGAAATCACCCATAGCAGGTCCTTTTAAAGCTGATGATTTAAAGAGCTCAAACCAGGACAAAGATTGTCATCTAAAAGTAAATTCATTCGAAATGCTGCTGACTTGATCTGTGTTGATAGACAATAAATATGTCAAATTCCAACACATGCACTTCTCATAGTTGTTCAAAATGGCCTTTAGAGAATAACCAACAGACCGACAATTTTTTTTTGTACAAGAGAAGATTTACGTGCCATTTACATTGACATAAGCTCTTAGTTCGTTATGTTTACAAATACAAAGAACAAATTAAAAAATAAAACTTATAGCAACGTCTCCAAGAGCCATCAGTCTCAATATCTTTAGTACTTCTTGGAAATCACTGTATCATCCTGGCTGATATGCCATTAGTTATCTTGTCATTTTTGTTCTTGTCTTACCGCAATCCATAGACTTCTGCCAATTCGCAACAATGTCTCTAAGAGCGTCAGATAGGCAATTTCAAGAGTAATTTATCAGAATTTTGAGTATGAAGCCTCATCTGATAGTGTAAATTGTATTTAGATTCCATGATGTAGTGTAGAAGTAGCAGAAAAAGGTTTGCATAATTAATATTTATGTCAGCGGAAGCTACTGCCAAGGAACATCTCCGTTATAAAGGATTGGACTACTTTCATGTTACCTGTACAGATTTCACATCCAGTGCAAGGAAATGGGAAGCTCCAGAGGGCCAATGATGGAGCAAATTCCATATTACTCACTAAGAGGGCAAAACAGACAAGTTCTATTTAGATGGATACATAGACAGCCTAGGAGCAGAGGCATATCACCAGTAATCACCACATGAACAAGCTCCATTTTGGAAGTGGTGAAACCTATTTATATCTCTTATAACAATTTCTCGCTGTACTATTGTTGATATAAACTTGATTGCTGCATGACAGTCCAAACATATTCGTAGATTTTTTATAATCCGGATTGGGCTTCCAGGCAGCGTTCTAAGTAAAGCAAAGGCTAAAGCTAATCTCTCACTATGTAACCACAGGAGGCGTGTCTTTTCATCATCATCTACGTCAAGTAGAACAACATCACAATTAGGAACATAACCTCCCCTCTTACTTTTCAAGTTAAACAATTCCAGCATTCCATGTATAAGTTTGATATCAGGATGTGAAGCATCACCAACAGAGAAATAATGAACACTGCCCTGGTGTTCAACCCAACTAAGTCCTGGTTCCTTCTTTAGTCGTTTCTTCTTCATGCTTCTCCGAACAAAAGCTACATTATTCCACCTTTTTGAAGTGGCATACATATTTGATAACAACACATAAGTTGCTTCATCTTGTGGTTCCAATTCAAGCACATGCTGAGCAGCTGTTTTCCCAAGCTCAACTTCATTATGAAGAACACAGGCACCAAGCAAAGCACGCCATACCATGACACTTGGCTCAAATGGGATGTCTTCAATCAACTTAACAGCCTTATCAAGGTGACCTAAGCGCCCCAAAAGTGATACCATGCATGTGTAATGCTCAACGCATGGTTCAATACCATAATCATCTAGCATTAAAAAGAGATAGGCATATCCTTGATTCAGAGATCCTGAATTGCTACAAGCTGAAAGAACACCAAGAAATGTTAATTGATTAGGCTTGACTTCCGTTTTGCGCATTCTCTCAAAGATATTGAGAGCCTCATTCCCAAGACCATGCATGGAATATGCTGAAACCATAGCATTCCATGAAACAACATCTCGCTCATTCATTGTTTCAAATGCTAAACGAGCATCTTTAATACTCCCACATTTTGCGTACATATCCACCAAAGCATTTCCAACAGCAAGATCTTGATTGTAAGTGGTTTTTATAGTCAAAGAATGAATTTGAAGACCTGGCTCCAATGCAGCTAGGGTTGCACAAGCACGCAGCAGAGAAGAATATGTCACCGATGAAGCCCGTACCTGAGCTTCAAGCATAACCGTAAATAGATTTAGCGCCTTCTCTCCATCTCCACATTGTACATGGCCAACAATAATAGTGTTCCATGATACCTCATTTTTGTTTTCAGTCTCCAAAAACATGCTTACTGCATTTTCCACCTTTCCGCACTTAGCATACACATCCATAAGGGCATTTGTAACAAACACATCGGAATTAAGACCAGACTTCGTCAGGTAGCAATGGATTTGCCTACCAAGGTTTAAAGCCTCCACTGATGCACATGCATGCAGCACACTAGCAAAAGTAAACTGGTTTGGAGCAACTAATACTCTCCTCATTTGGGAGAAAAATTCCAGTGCCTCGTCACAGCGGTCACTTTGTGAATACCGCGCTATAATAAAACTCCAATGAACTACGTCACGTTCAGGAATCTCTTGAAACACACGTGCAGCATCATTCAGATCTCCAGATTTACAGTATAGGTCAAGCAACGAAATACCAACTGAAGGATCCATCTCATACCTAGTTTTCAATACACATCCATGCAAACTCTTGCCCACATTAATAGCCTCTAGACCAAGGCAAGCCTTCATGACACTCGCGAATGTATAGTTGTTTGGAATCCAACCTGCCATCCTCATTTGAGAGAAGCATCCCAGTGTTTCTTCAAACTTATCGTTTTCTGCATAGCAAGTAATCATCCCTGTCCAAGAAACCATGTCCTTATCAATAATGCCATCAAAAACGTCCCTTGCAAAATCAACGAGTCCAGAAACAGAGTAAGAATCGATGAGGGCAGTGCTGACAAAAGGATTAGAGTCATGTCCAAGCTTATAAATACACGCATGAATGCTCGAACCCATCTCTGCCTCATCCATACTCACAAGCACTTTTAAGATTGTTGTGAATACAAATGGGTTCAGCTCATGACCTTCTCTATGTAATCTAACAAACAATTCAACAGCTGCAATGTATTGCTCTGCCTGCAAAAAACACTGAAGTAAAGTAACAAATGAAACCACGTTTCGCATAGGCATTTCGTCGAACAGCCGAACTGCATCATGTAATAACTCAGACTTGCCATAAGAGTTGAGCAAAATATTCTGCCCAAATAGGTCTAAACATTCACCTCTCTTCAAAATGTCGCAATGGAGTGCCTTTGCGGCTATGAAATCCCTGTTCATTACGCATTTCTGAAGCACATTGGCGTATGCAGATGAATCGAATGATGGAATTTCCAAATTCGTGTTTTGTTGTTTGGTCAAATGGAGGGCTTGGGATGCGATATGACAGTGCCGAAACAGAACGCAGAAGTGGGATGTTGCAAAATCGGTCCATGACTGCCTTCTGCCCAGTGCGTATCTCAGCATGCGTGTTTCGGCAAGACAACGCTGGCTTCCCTTAATGAGCAGCCAACGTAAGCCTAGATTAATGGGCTTCGCTTAGAGATTTTCTCATATGTTGCGGGAAATTAAGAAGGGTAAGAAAGGTTGAACACTTTGGTGCCACAATTGAGTTTTTAACTATGCTTGTCGTATGGACATAACTTTTAAGTTTAACAATATTTTCTCGCTTATTCCATGGACAACACTTTTGACTTTTGACCTAAACGTTCCCACTAAAGGTAAGTGGAGGTGAAAAAACAAGACCATCCATTTTCTAGGTCATTGAGTGTAATTTTATGGGTAAGAAATTGAAAGAAAATCTATTTTTTCATACGAAAATAAAATTTGGATAAAAATATCCTTAGTTAAAATTCGAAAAGATTCCAGCATAATATCCTGTAATTCTAACCTATGAAATTCTAGCATAATATGTTGCAATTCATAATGTGCAGGAATTCCAGAATAATATGTTGGAGCTTTACACACAGGAGTTCCATAATCCAACATATTATACTGAATTTTTTTCGTGTTTTATCTAAGAATATTTTGTCCAAATTTTATCTCCGCATTAATAACTATTACAAATATTGGGTATTTTTCAATTACAATTACAAAATTTGGTCAGGCATGCTATTTTGGTTAAGAAATACTCCTATAGGCTGGACTTCTTAAATAAAAATTGGACAGAAAGACCCGATAGGCCATTTTCAGTTCTAGCTTCTCATTTCGTGATTTGAGACCTTATATAACTTTATTTGGTGAGTTATGACTTGCTGTGACGATTAAATAGGTCGTTTTGAGTACTAGCCTTTATTTCCGTATTTCGAGACCTCTTATAGTTTACTTTGATGTTTATCGATTTGCGTGCGTGGTCCGTGTTGTTTTCCGAAAAGCTTTTACATAAAATTTAGAAGAAAATGTGATTTTTGGCCTAAAATGTGACTTGAGTTAACCACAGTAAACATTCTTGAATGACCTCGGATCGGTGTTTTGACGATTTCGGTATATTCGTATGATATTTTTGGACTTTTACGCACATTTTGTTGGGGTCCGAGATAGCCCGAGCGCATTTCCGCCTTATGTGGAAAATTGTGAAAATAAATTTTAAAGCTGAAATTCTTGAGTTTTGATGACCAATACATATTATTTGATGTTATTTTGATGATTTGAGATAGAGAGCAAGTTTGTAGGATGTTATTACACTTGAGTGCATGTTCAGTTTGGAGCCCGAGGGGCTCGGATAAATTTCGGATTGGTTTCGGACCATTTTGGACTTGTTGAATTGCTGGTTTTTTTTGGTGTTCAGTGCTTCGCGATCGCGAAGAGGGAATTTGTGGCTGGGGCTATTTGTTCTATGCGAATGTAGGCTCACGAACGCGAGAGACTGACCTTCGCGAATGCGGCCAGTCACTCGCGAACCCGTAATTGTATACGGTGAAAATTAGAGGGTCCGATTTTATGATCGTTATGACGCTTCACAAGCATGCATCCAGGAGGCTCGAGGCTCAGCTCGAGGTTCGACCCCGAGGGTTCTCAGTGCTCGACCTCGGGACAGTGCAAATCGATGACTATGATGAACAAGCGGGAAGTTCCCAAGGTACGTGGTTAAAGCTGACCAAGTCTATTAGGCTAGCACAAGCCCGTACCGTAGCATTAAATGGTTGTACCAGCCTCATATCCTTGTAATAAATGCATATGTACTATATTGGGATTCTCCCTCCTATATAAAGAGTGTGTGGATACAACATTGAATACAAGAACAAGAACATTGTCTGCTCTCTAACTTAAATATATTATCCCTTGAGTTTATTGCTTATATTCATTACATTGCTTACATTTATTGTGTTTCATTGATTGTTCTTCATTTATTACTCATCATTGATCATAAAGAGCCCTCATCAAAGATCTTGGAACTTTTGGTCCTTCATCGGCCATCTACAGTCGAGCTTATCAGCTTAACCTCGAGGCCCCGTATAGGCTAGCTCGAGACCCGACTCCCGGTCGCTCGGTTTGCTAATCGCGCTATCTTCAAATCCTTATCTTATTTTCTGGTCTCACACTTAGCATCTATTGCCTAACAACTAGCATAAAAATAAATCACGTATTTTTAGAACCACAAAGTCAAATCTAATTGTAATTATCGTTTTCGAGATAAACAGTTTGGCGCCCACCGTGGGGCTAAAAATAATAGTGATTGTTTTCTTGTTGGTTTACTACATAAAGCAAGTTATCTTTCACACTTTTTGTTGTCCAAGAATCTTTGATTTCAGGTCAAAATGTCAAACTCTGTGAATGCACATGAGAACAACGGTCCTGAGGACCATGGAGAGAATGTCGTAGCTGTTTCAGGCATTGGTGTACCACCGCGAAACCCTGAGGACGCGCCAGAACCGATTCCCGTGGACGTGGTCTCGCGCGACGCCCAACACGTCGATATGAGCTCCCACACTGACAGGAGTATACGCCAAGAAAACCAACAAGAAGCTCAGAAAAACCCAACTCGGGAGGAACGAGAGGTTAGCCTTCACGTAATTTTTGAGATGTTGCAGGCACAACAGCTGGCGATCGCTCAACTGCAGAGCCACCAAAAAACTCTGAGCACAGCAGCACCAAAAACGGCTCCCCGAGCCGAACAAGTACCAGAAAGATCAAGCAACAACGGGTCAGCAGCCGATCCCGCTATCATAAAGATGCTCGAGGGCCTCACGAAGAGGGTTGAATCGGGCGAAAAGAAGATAGAAGCCAATGACATAAAGGTGGAGACCTACAATTCAAGGGTCGATCAGATCCGGACGCACCCCCGATCTTAAAGGGTGTAGATTCAAAGAAATTTGTACAAAATCCATTCCCGTCAAATGCCACTCCAAAGCCCATTCCGAAGTAATTCAGAATGCTTGATCTCCCGATGTACAACGGAACCTCGGACCCCAACGAGCACATCACTACTTACACTTGTGCTGTAAAGGGAATGACCTAAAGGACGACGAGTTTGAATCCGTCCTATTGAAGAAATTCGGAGAAACACTCTCAAAAGGGGCCATGATGTGGTATCACAACCTAGCCCCCAATTCAATAGATTCATTTGCCATGCTGGCAGATTCTTTTATAAAGGCACATGCCGGTGCCATTAAGGTTGCTACAAGAAAATCCGACGTCTTCAAGATCAACAAAGAGAAAAAGAGATGCTGCAGGAGTTTGTATCTCGTTTCCAAATGGAGCAAATGGAATTACCACCGGTCTCCGATGATTGGGCAGTACAAGCCTTCACTCAAGGCTTGAACGAACGAAGCTCGGTAGCTTCGAAGCAGCTGAAGCAGAACTTGGTAGAATATCCCGCCGTGACTTGGTCGGATGTCCACAACCGATATCAGTCGAAGATCAGGGTCGAGGACGACCAACTAGGAGCCCCCTCGGGCTCAGTATATCCTAGCAGGCTCTTGACAAAGGAACCAAGGCCAAACAAGGAAAGGTATCAACCGTACACTGAAGATCGAAGAAACACCCCAAGGCGTAACATACCCCAAAATGATCGAAGGACAGACCGAGGTCAGAATCCTCGGGGACTCGTGGGCCGAGTCAGATTCGACAGACATACAGGACCGACGGAGGTATCCCGATTGTCCGAATACAACTTCAACATTGATATTTCGGACATCGTCTCTGCCATCGGTAAAATCAGAGAAACCAGGTGGCCAAAACCCGTACAATCAGATCCGTCACAAAGGAACCCCAAATTGGTATGCGAGTTTCACGGCACACACGGTCTTAGGATCGAAGATTGCAGATAGCTCCGAGAAGAAGTAGCCCGCTAATCAGCAAAGGGCACCTCTGAGAGTTCCTCAGCGACCGAGCCAAAAATCAATTTCGGGAAAGAGAGGCGAACAGGAAAAATGAAACAGAAGAACCACACATGTCATCCACATGATTGTTGGGGGAGTCGACATTCCATAGGAACCCATTGTCAAACGAACAAAAATATCCATCACTAGGGAAAAGCGAACTCGAGGTTACATACCCGAGGACGCTCTCACATTCAGCGACGAGGACATCGAGACCCTATCTCAGCCTCATAACGATGCACTGGTAATCTCTTTTCTTGTGAATACATTTCAAATTAAACGTGTACTTATGGATCCAGGTAGCTCAGCCAACATTATCAGGTCGTGGGTGGTGGAGCGGCTCGGACTGCTCGACCAAATCGTGCCCGCTTCTCGAGTCCTCAACGGATTCAACATGGCAAGCGAGACGACGAAAGGGGAGATCACCCTCCCGGTCAACGTGTCCGGAACAACCTAAAATGCCAAGTTTCATGTCATCGAAGGAGACATGAGATACAATGCCTTACTCGGAAGGCCATGGATACACTGCATGAGAGCAGTACCATCAACCCTTCATCAAATGATGAAGTTTCCAACAAAGGACGGAATAAAAACTAAGGGTGTTCATAAAAACCCGAAAAACCGAACCAAACCGACTAAAAAAGCCGATACTTTTTGGTTTGGTTTGGTTTTGGTTTTGAATTTTAAAAACCGATCAAATTCGGTTTGGTTTTGGTTTTAATCAGAAAAAAACCGAAAAAAACCGAACCAAACCGACTATAGGAGTAGCTATTTCAAATTTATTAATACACCTATATATATGTGTATTTTTATACAAAGTTTTAAAAATTTAATGGTAAATATTAATAGTTTGCACTTTTAGTATAGTTATTTACCTTTACATTCTAGTTTGATTGGTAGTTTTCTTTTGTTACGTCTAAGAATCCATTTCGTGTTAACAATAATATACTTTTAATTGAGTCCTTAAATTATTCATCACTATTTGATTCAATTATCACCAATATATCTTAGTAATAATAGATTTCTCAAAGGGAAATTGACTTGATAGTGTTACGTTGAAAATATGGTCGCCGGAATATGTGTTTGGTAGTGTATGTCTTATATTTAAGAAAAAACCGACAAATAACCGAAAAAACCAAAAAACCGACAAAACCCGACATAGACCGAATCGAGAAAAAACCGACTTAAATGGTTTGGTTTGGTTCTAATATTTGAAAAACCAACTTACTTGGTTTGGTTTCTTTTTAGGGAAAAATCGATCCAAACCGAACC